CTCTAATTCCTGGGTTCTAACAATCATTCTACTTCAGTCACCCCAGTGATGGAACTATAGGTTCCAGTCACTATGAATGAAAGCACCAAGCAATTTTAAAGAACCTGACATCCTGACATGTTACATATACTGTATCCTCCTTCAGTGGCTGCCTTTATTCCAGCCAACTTGACAAGTAAATTAGCTAAGGCACAGACTCAATTATATAGTTTTTCTGTGGAAAACAAATATTTGAAATTAAAACTTCTATGTTTTTTTCTTTTGAGATAGAATCTCACTATATCGTTCAGATTGGCTTAGAGACAATTATCCTCCAGCGCCAGTTTTGTCATTTTCTGGGACCACAGGACCATGCCACCCCATCTGACTTCTGTGTTTCTAAACAAGCCATAGGGTCTTCTCTTTGGGGACAGGGTAGGGAGGAAGTGGAGTAGTAAGTTTAGAGGCTGAGGCAGCCTTCTTGCCAGCTCTGTTCCTCCTCTCTATTTTCATTTCCCCACGATATTTGCACTGAGACCACGGGAAACAGAGTGCCTTGCATTTCACCTTAATTACTATACCAATTTGCTAAATTTTGTTTTTATCTTTTAAAAATGTTAATAAATTTTAGCTCAGAAATAGACTGGAATGACACACAAATTACAACAATTCCCAAATGCAAAATTCTGAACATCTTGAACAATCTTGGAGCATGAAAAATGTGAAAATCAGAAACTCTGGCATGCACCAACATGATCAATTTATTTAAAATATTACTACACTGAAATGAAATTATAGTGGCTTTCTGGCTCTTAGAAGAATCTGTTTGCCAGAATCAGCATTATCCCTGTGTGTCTGGTCCTTCACATGTTGAAACACAAAGCCAGAAAGCCAGAGTTTTCTTTCAAAGATACCAGTTCCTCTACCAATAGCAGTATGCTAAACCTCCTAGTACGTGGAATGCCTACTATGCATCAGAAAAACAGGAAAAGAAGGTATATTCTCATCTTCATTAAAGAGGTACTGCTAGACTCCAAAAGGTTCAGCATTTTACCACTGTGACACAATACTGCCATTGTGTCACCCACTTCCCATGATCAAGATTTATAAAAGTATTTTACAAAAAGTATCTTAAAAAATGACGGGGGTGTGTCCTACTGCTTCCTTTATTGTTTGGTGAATAAAATATTATTTGGCCAACAGAGGCAAGAAGATAGGGGGGGCTAGGAGATGAGGATAATTCTGGGGAGAGGAGAGGCAGAGAGGCTGCTAAGGGAAGCCATGTAGAGCCTGAGAAGATGGGAGGAGCCAGGAGTTCTCTGGTAAGTTATGGTGATATTGAAATATATATTAGTTTTTATGGGTTAATAATTAAGACAAAGCTAGCCAATAAGAAGTACTAGCCATCAGCCAACAGTTTTTTAAGTAATATAAGTCTGTGTGTTAATTTGGGGCTGAAGGGTGGCGGATTTGGAGGGACAAAAAACTCCAGCTAAAAAATGGCACCCACAGGAGGAGTGAGATTTTTCCAAGTAAATCCTGATTAAACCTTTAAAAGGGATTCTAAACAAAAGAACAGATCCAAGCACTGCATCTTGGTGGCAGCATTTTCCCTGGTGGGCTCTGTTTGCTAAAGACAAGCAAATGCTCACAGGTCTTTGAAGAGATACTAAACAGGTAAATGGTATGCACGAGCAGCTGGCGCCAGCAGTGACCACATCTCCATGCCACACACAGTATGCTGCATGGCAGATTTAGCTTTTACTCAAATAAACAAAAGAGGTTTAAGAGTCAAGAAAGTGGGCACAGTTCCCAGTTCTGACAGTAAATGTACACTACCATGTTAGAAAGCCAGCAACTAAAATGTGTTCTTTAATCTTAGCAATGTTGTTTAACTGATAAGACTTATGACCAGAAAAAGATAGGGATATACAATAAAGACAGATTTACATGAAGAAAAACCTCCAAATGGTTGACAATGTGTTTAAAAATATATGTAGGCTTGGGAGAGAAAAGGAAAAGGATAAAGTGGTTAAAAAAGAAATCGAGTAGCTGTGTGTGGTGGTGCACGCCTTTAATCCCAGCACTTGGGAAGCAGAGGCAAGCAGGTCTCTATTATTTCAAGTACAGCCTCATCTACAGAGTGATTTTCAGAACAGGCAAAAGTACACAGAGAAACCCTGTTTCAAAAAACAAAAAATAAAATTAAAAGAAGAGAGTAATAAAAAGTCATGTAAAGATGTAAAATACACAGAGTCTGGATACTGAATGTTATTGTGCTTTGAATTGTTTAATTGGCGAGGAAGGAGCAAAAAATACTAACATTTTAGTATAAATGCTACTGCATTAATCTAATTTATATATCTTGAAAATGTTTTGACTTCAAAATTTAAGTCTAAGAATGGGTTGCTTTGGAAAAGAGGTTCTGTCTTTGTTTCCAAAGAAACTGAAAAGGTAAGGATTCCTTCCAGACTAATATGTTTTCATCAAACAGGACCCCTACCCCAAAGCAGTGGCCCAAGTTATCCAACATCCAAAACAGCTGAGACAATGCAGCCTCAAACTACTACATACAGGAAATGCCCAGGTTTCTGGGTTTTCTCAAGATCCCCCATGGTACTGACAGTCCGCCCAAACATCAGGAAGCAGTTTGCAAAGAATGAAGCCTAAATTCTCAAATATTGTTTATAAAGTTTTATTTTTGTTTTTTTATTTAAATGGGGCTAGTTATAAGTGGTTAATGATCACAGCCAATTTCTTTCTAAAAAAAGGATTATGATATAGAAATGAATAATTTGCATTGGTTTAGAATTTGATATAGTGATATAAATTTAAGGTATATTTCTCCTCTTGTTTAGTTACTGTGTTTATAAAGCTCATTTGAAATGTAATGTATAATTACAGTTTATATATAGTCACCTATAATAGCCAAAACTTATAGTTATACTTGTTATGTTTTCTAGATATACAGAGATATATTAGAGATGGATAGTTTTCAAACCTTTGAAAGACCTTCAGAATATGGCATTTAAAATGGATTAGGGGTTTTCATGACAGTGAGACACAATTGATCCTAACAACACCAATTACTTCAGAGAGGAGGATGTGCATAGAAGAAACTCCTTATGGAGTTTGCCTTGGGCATGGCAAGACTAGCCATTTGGGCAAGAAACTGTTCTTGCCTAGACTATTTGACTACATGATTTCCAAGTAGACATTCAAGAAGAAGGACAGGAAAGTGAATTCTGAATTTGCCAAAACAAGTTGAGAGAGTCCTGAAGGGTTCCTGCTTCAAGGAAGAGACTGCCAGACAAACTACCAATACAGGTGGACAGTTTAAAATTTCATGCTTTACTGAGAAGTGTGCCAGACACACTACAACCTACAAGATGAAGATGGATGCTTCTATATTACAGAGGAACTTTGGGTGTCCTGGCAGTAAGATGTCTATGTCAATGCTAGTGTTTATACATTATCTTTCTGAGGTCTTGGATGGAGTTGAAGACAGATAGTTATGGTTATGGTTTTCACTAGTTATGATAAAAAATAAGTTACATATAAAAGTTTAGACTCATAAAGATAGAATAGATAATAGAATATTTTGCTTATATGTTTCCCAAATGCTAATGAACTATTGTTAACTATAGTTCTTACTTGGTGACTGATTTGTTATACATAATTTTACTATGTTAAAGTTAAAACTCTTCTTTTTATTTAGATAGAAAAGAGGAGATGATGGGAAATGTCTTTCTGCATATATGTTTCTCTTATTGGTTGGTGAATAAACCCTGACCAATAGAAGCAGGAAGATAGGCAGGACTAGGAGACAAGTCAGGGAAAGGTATTAGAAAGAGACTGCGAGGAGACACCATGTGGAGACCAGGAGAATAGGGCATGCCAGGTGTTCTCTGGTAAGATAAGGCTATGTAGAAATACACAGATTAGTATTTATTGGTAAACAACTAAGACAGAGCTAGCCAATAAGAATCCCTAGCCATCGGCCAACAGTTTTATAATCAATATACGTCTCTGTGTGTTTATTTGGGGCTAAAGAGTGGCAGGACTTAGTGGGACAACAGGACTACAAACCACAGAATGGATACAGTGCTGAAAGACAAGTGAATAGAAAGTGTGTTGTTCATTTTTGGAAAGGAGAAAGAAAAGCAATGCCACTGAGTATAAAAGAATGGGTGAGGTTGTAACAAGATATCAGGGGACTAAATTTGATAGGGGGAATAGAAGAAGCAAAAGACTGCATCATTGGAGAAAAGCCATATATTAGTTAGATGTCCTCTAATATTTATAGGTAATTATAGGTAAGTGTTGGGAATTCATAGCAATGAGAAGAGATACATAAAAGCAGGGTTGAAAGCTCTAGTCAGTGATCTTTGTTAGACCACAATCTCAATCATCATGCAAACAAGGTGGCACTATAAAAAAAACTTGAAGTAAAGGAATCAGATGATCACATGGGTTTTAATAGTTGAAATCTTCCTAATACAGATTTATTCAACATATTCTTCTTGGGGTATCATCATATGTTCCTTCATTAGGAATTCCTACTTACCCCAATACTTCAAATTGTAACATTTTATCTCTGAAGAAACACACCAGAATGGGCTAGTGATTGATTGGTGTCTTGTGATAAGTAGATAACAGTACATAGAGTTAAGGCAAGGTCTGTCAGAATATGAGGTCAACATTCACCTCAGAGAACAAGAGAATGATGACTCTACCTCAAACCATGTTCAGATACATACTGAGGTCAGTGAACTTCAGCTTTGATGGATTTCCGTGGTGGCTAAATTGCCCAGACCAAAACAGATTCTGTAGTACATGACCAGTTTTGCTAATATATGGCTTAATGATAAATGCAGATAAGCACAGTTACAACCAGAGCATTTCCTACTAGGTGAGGTCCCTGTTCTTACTTCAGTTCCATTAATTACACCCAAACAAGGTTTCCAGATGCAGCAGATCAGGAAAACTCTTCTCCCGTCCATCTATCTTCCTTTCCATACCTTGAGCTCATCAGCATTATAGAAGTCCACACGCACTGCAGGTACCATCCAGGTCTGGAAGAGCGTAGCCAGGATCTGCTCTGCAATAGAATCAGCGATGAGGTGGAAATGCAGAGGGTTCCGCCTATGGAGGGGAAAGGAGGATGTCAAAAGAGCATTAAAGGCCTTGTATCTAGTTGCAAAATCAACCATTTCCCAGCTGATAATGTGAGACAGTGTCACAAGCCACTATGGAAATAAATCATGCAGGTGATGGTCTTTGGTGAGGATATTTGAGCTGAAAGGGAGAGAGAAAATCTCCCTCAACCTCCACATTTCAGAGGAAAACCATGCACCATAGAAGGCAAGACCCAATTCTCACATCTGTTATGAAGAAATTTGGGGTCTAAGAAACTAATGTAGGGCATACTTAACAATTGTATCAATCTTTACATCTGCAAACCTGACATAACAGTATCAATGCAGAAACACAATGACAGCAGTCCATATCTTAAATGGTGTAAGCAGCTGGCAACATACTTCTCCATTAACTCAAAAATAACTTGTGTTCTCTACTTGTTGCATTCCAAAGCAAAGCTATGCTTTCAAACTGGAGCTTTGCTGAGGACACTGGCATGCTTCATTTGTAATGTGTCTAAGCCTTGCAGTGATTCAACTGTCTACAGTGACACAAGGGCAAAGATTCTCATGGTTTTGGTTGTTTGAATATTAAATGTCCCACAAGGACTTACATGACTGACTATATGAACCCCAGCTGATGGCAATGTTTGGGTAGGTGCTTTTTTTTTTTTTTGTTACCCTATTGCCCAATTCCTTCCGCATAGGGGATATCTAGAGTCTATCATTTCACTCAGGGTAGGGTCCAGGCACTTCCCTAAGAGTGCAGGCAGAGAGAGCCTCTTTGTGTTATGGACATACAATGTCTGTTAGTATTCGAGGGATAAACACTGATCCACTGCTCAGGACCCCATAGGTAGCCCAGGCCTCCTCATTGACTCTCACATTCAGGGAGTCTGGAGTTGTACATAATTTGAAATACTGCCAGTTGCTCAATGCTGAACGTTATTAAAGACTAAGTGTTTTATAAATGTATAGATTTTGAAACACGGTTTTCCCATTAAACATTTACATGAAGAGACTTGGTTTTTGTTTATGAATCTGATGATTGTATTTATGTGTATTCATGTGGGGAGGGGAGCATAGTACACATCTGTGTGGGAGCCTGCTGAGGGTAGAAGAAGATGTCAGATCCCCTACAGCTGGAGTTCAGGCTTCTATGAGTCACCTGCGCATCTTGGGTGCTGAGACTCAGGACCTCTGAAGTGCAGCAACAGCCCTTACCACTGAGCCTCTCTCCAGCCCTTAAATCGAATAATTGTAACAGCACAATACAAACATGTTTATTCCATTTCAGAAAAATAAAATGAAAAGGGAAGGAAAATAAATAGAACTTTTGTGCTTAGAAGGGCATCAATGAAGTGAAAAACAATACTCAGAGTAAGAGAAAAATATGTGCAACTGAGTAACTGATGAGGGATTTGTTAGGATGATAAATATCTATTACAACTCCAACATAAAAAGAAAAGAAAGATAAGTAAGCCAATTAAAAATCCTGGTGGAGAAGCTCTGAAAAGCCATTTCTCAAGACAGATTTACAAATAGTCAATAAGCACAAGAAAAGACTCAGTCTCATTAATCCCCAGGGAAATGCAAACTGTAAAACCACAATGAGAGGGCTCTTCACACCCACTAACATGCTTAAAATAAAAACATGACAGAAGCTTGTCCGGGGAAGACTCTGAGCCAACTACCATTACTGATGGAACTGTCAAAAGGTGTAGCTTATTTGGGGGACAGAGAGTTGGGAAACTTCTCAAAAACATAAAATAAAATGAAAATTAGCACAGAAATACCATTTTTGAGGTAGTTAGCAATTTTCTCTTCTAGTTACATATAAAAAGTATGTATGTATATATAGCATATATAATTAATACAAAAATATAGTTGTCTGTTCTCTACAAGATAACTCTACATTGATGATCAAGCAAGCAGCCCTAATTAAAATCAGTGTGTGTGTGTGTGTGTGTGTGTGTGTGTGTGTGTGTGTGTGTATGTGTGTAGAGGCGGGGGGGGTGGGAGCTGAGACTTTCTTTTCACAATTACTTTTTGCTTGTTTTGTTTCTAAGCAGTGGAGCTTTTCCAGAGTCTTGTTGAGCCAAACTCGTGGAATAGATCCTATGCCTATGTGGAATCATGCTCTTGTCTTCTTCCTTAAGACTTTATCCAGTCAAAAAGATCCAGAATCTGTCTAGTGTAGCTTGCCTATGAGGTTGGGTCCACCATAAGATAATGCTATTTTCCTTCCAGAATTCATGCCTTCGAGTGCAGTCCCTATGACCTGCTATTTGGTTCAGTTTGGCTAGGACTACCTGCCTGTCTGAACTGTGATTCAGAATGGCATATTTCTTTTCATTCCATCATTTTCTTTCAGGTGCTTCCTAGCTAGTGCTGGTGCTTGGTGTGCTCTGAAACTAACTAAGGCTTTGGACTTCATTTTTCTAAAGCTCCACTCCTGCCACAGGGCTTTCTAAATCCATAGGGATGACCTCCAAGTAACTTTATCTTAACCAGCTGACAACTGTAGGCAAATGCAAGATTTACAACTTGCTTGTCCTGGGGTTTTCTTTAACCTCCAATAAATTGTCATTGTTTGTCCTTGAGGTTCTATTTATGTTGGTTCTTAAATTCTTTCATTAATGCGACTAACAATACCAAGAGGTGTTGCAGAATACTGGTATACTGTGTGAAGATGTGTTTCAGTGATTGGTGTATTAAAAGTGGAATGGCCAACAACTAGGCAGGCCATCCAGGCAAAGAGAGCAGGAGGACATAATTGAAGTACACAGGAGAACCATCAAGACTTGGAACAAGTCGGAGACATAAAATGGGAGAGAGGTAAAAGCCATGTGGTAGAATGCAGATTGATAAAAATATGAGTTATTTTAAGTTATAAGAGCTAGTGGAGGGCCTGAGCAGAAACACTGGAGACCTGAGGACTCAGCACAGCGGATACGGATCCCACACCTACTGGATTCCCACCCAGGGACTGCCAGCTTCCATTTGCATTCTCCACCCACAGGACAGGTGAGGTAAGTAGTGGTCTGTCTACACCCTGCTTTCCGGTGGCCTGAGCAGAACCACCGAAGTTCTGAGGACTGCACACAGCAGAGACGGATCCCAGCCTGATGGGATTCAGCCGACCCAGAGACTGCTAGCTTCCAAGTCCTAGTCTCCACCCACGGGACAGGGGAGGAGAGGCGAGGGTCCAGCCTATAGAGTTTACTAAGGTCCTAATACTAGGACGGCCTCCATCCAAGCAAGAGGAAGCTACCAGGGTATTGGACATGCTCCCACTCACTGAAAAGGGGTCACATAGCCACCAGGAGAGGAAGAGACTCCTTCTGCTCCCACAGGAAGAAATGATGGGAACGAGACAATACAAAAACACACCCACCAACAGAAAAAACAATATGATACAACCAAAAACTAGAGAACCTATATCCGCAAGACCTGAACAGTCCTTTGCAGAAGAAGCAGATGAGAAAGACCTTAAAAGCAGCTTCATGAAAATGATAGAGGCCCTCAAAGAAGATAAGAGAAAATCCCTTAAAGACATGGAAGAAAAAACAATCCAAAATATGGAAAAACGCAAAATGGAAAAAAAGACAAACCAAAAACTTCAACAAATGCAAGAGAGGAAAAGACCAAGCAAAAATTACAAGAAACAATTCAAAAGGTACAAGGGTTGAAAGCTGAAATAGAAACAATAAAAAAAAACACATAGACTGAAGGAATGATGGAAATAGAAAAGCTGGGCAAAAAGACAGATACTACAGATACAAGCATAGCCAAGAGAATATAAGAGATGAATGAGACAATCTCAGGTGTTGAAGATACACTAGGAGAAATTGATACATCAACCGAAGATTCATGGACCAAAGAAAATGTTAAGACCAACAAATCCCTAACACAAAATATCCAGGAAATATGGGACACCGTGAAAAGACCAAACCTAACAATAATAGGAATAGAAGAAAGTGAAGAAATCCACCTCAAAAGAGGAGAAAATATATTCAACAAAATCATAGAATAAAAATCACCAACATAAAGAAAGACATACCAGTGAAAGTACAAGAAGCCTACAGAACACCAAGAGAATGGACAACAAAAGGAAATCCCCTCACCACATAATAGTAAAAACCCTGAACATATAGAATAAAGAAAGAATATTAAGAGCAGAAGAGGAAAAAGGCCAAGTAATATACAAAGGCAAACCTATCAGAATTACACTTGACTTCTCCATGGAAACTCTGAAAGCCAGAAGGTCCTAAATAGATATTCTACCAACACTAAGAGACCATGGATGCTAGCCCAGATTACTATACCAGGCTAAGCTCTCAATTGCTATAGATGGAGAAAACAAGATATTCCATGACAAAACTGGATTCAGGCAATACGTATCCACTAACTCAGCCCTACAGAAAATTCTGGAAGGAAAACTCCAACCCAAGGGAGTTAACTACAACCAGAAAAACATGGCCAATAGATAATCCAACTCTACCAACAGCCAAAAGAAAAGAGGTGGAAAACCTCATATATTGGAATATTGGAACTATTCCAAAACAAACAAGAATGAGCAGTCAATGGTCATTAATATGCCTCAATATTAATGGTCTTAACTCGCCCATAAAGAGACACAGGCTAACAGAATGGATTCGAAGATAGAACCAATCCTTCAGCTGAATACAAGAAACACACCTCACCTCAAAGACAGACATTACCTCAGAGTTAAGGGTTGGGAAAACATTTTCCAATCAAATGGACCCAAGAAACAATCAGGGGTAGCAATCCTAATACCTAATAAATTAGATTTCAAAATGAAATCAATCAAAAGAGATGAAGGAGGGCACTGCATACACATCACAGGAGAGAGCCACCAAAATGAAATCAAATCTCAACAGGTACAAAAAAAATTCGAAAACTCCATTCACCTTATCAGACCACCATGCATTAAAATTAGAATTCAACAACACAAATTGCAGAAACACTACAAAATCATGGAAG